TACAATCGTCTGGCGCGTGGCTATACTCGTGTTGCCGAGAATGCTCAGTTCGCATTTTGTGCCCAGCTGGACTCGAGACTAAGTACCTACAAGGGAACGGGGTCATTGATATCGGCCAAGGCTGCGTTCTAAAAGGTGACATATTTACAATACATGCTCAACATGACTACTACAATGAAATGTACATACATAAGGACATTGACATACCGGTCCTGCCTAAATATACCTCATCTCTTAACGATATGATAAACACCTCCATGAACGAAAAGGTGCTAGATAACCTGGAGAATCATGATCAGTTATTTGATGAAATAAACAAAAGAATAGAAGTGCTGAAATCGCAAGATTTACAACTGCTACAGAACAGCAGTGTCACACACTATTCTACTATTTACGCTATACTGGCGATGCTGATAGTCGTCGTCGTCATTTACATCGGCTGCAAACTGAAGGGCCGGTGCGTGTTGGCGAGCTGGCGGTACAGAGGCGCGCAGGAAGAGCGCCCTGTCATCCTCGAGTTGCGAAGCAGCCAGGGTGTCAGTGCCAGTGCTAATAGTGTCAGTGCAGTGCATGATAGTGAACAAAGGTCGAACACAATAGTGTCGATGGGTCGTGACATGAGTGGATCCGTGTTAAGTGTGGATAGGGCCACTTCTCCAACTATGACAAGAACAATTAAATTTGATAATTTACCTAAACCATAAATACCTTACTAATTATGCAATTAATTTTATATGTTGGTTTTTAAAGTCTCTTTTTTAACTTTCTTCTTTTATTTTTATTTTTATGTGTTTTTGACATTTTTTGTAGTTGGCAATATGTACGAGTCAACTCGCACATTTTTTATTACTAAGTAATTTATTGTTAACTTGCATTTTATTCATGCACTTTGGCCAGCTACGCCTGACCTACATTTGGGACTTTGGTAGTTTAACATTTTATAATCAGTGCAATAAAGCATTCGGCAGCTAAAACACGTCTTTCAATAAATCCCATCAGCGGTTGATACGGCGTAGTTGTCTGACATCTTGACATCAGTCTTACTTTGACACCACATCTTACAATTTAAATAAACAGGTTCCAAAAAAGTTAATTGAAAAATTAAATTAAAGAATTACTTTGTTGTTGTTTAAAAAAAGAACAGGGTTAAGTGGAGGAGAATGCCGAATGGCATTAAATTCGTCGTATGTACTGCGATTTATGTGCATATAATTTATAAATAAACAAAATTTTATTTATCATTCTAAAAATATAATTTTTATTTTCAAGTAATATGCCGCATCCGCATAGTAAATTTAATAGTTACAGCGAGTTTACCGCAAGCCTCTTGTCGTACAACACCTGTTGTGAGCAATTTCAGGACGCTGTAAGTTAATAAGTCGCCCGTTGCACCGGAAGGTGTCACAAAGAGTTCACATTGAACCGGAAGTGGTACTCATATAATTAATAAACATTCCTCTTCCCCCTTTTTCTACTGAGTGCCTTTTTCTACTGAGTGCCTTTAATGATACTGGTTGATTTATTTATTTTAAAAAGCTGTTTTTTTACATTATCAGCGTCATTGACGACATAATATTGTATTCTGCTGACATTTTCTGTATGACTTAATTAACTTATAATTATTAATAATTGACTTATATTTGAATTGTATCATTTATTGCGTTATAGATTTTTACTAAATATCAATTTCTTAAAATGTAATTTGACCAATCATGTATCTTACCATTATTGTATGCCCATGCGGCGGAACACAGCTGATCTATCATACAAATGTAATGACCTGACTTATGTACCTGTGATTTCACAATAAACACAATTTGAATTTGAATCATTACTAATTATTCTATATACTGCACGATGCTTTTTATAAAGTTTAAATACCCAGAAACCATTTAATGTTCTATTTATTCGGAAACATTGACTCACTGACGTAGACTGAATGGAAGCATGACCTAAAAATTAAAATGATTGAAATTGAAACTTTTGTACAGACGGCAGCACATCAAAGTAATCACTGTGATGATAAAAATGGTAATAATTCGCAACAAAATTCTATACTTTCACCTTTAATTATTCTCCTACGTAGGTATGAATAATCCTTCGCTGTATATCCGTAACTTCGTAAGGAGGCCGTGTCTTGAGCAAAGTTCGCGCTACGGTGGTTTGAATATGCAGACAACAGATGGTAACTACACCACACATAAATTACTTACAGCGCCAACCTTCGCCTTATTTTATAAATTAGCCCACAAATTAACCACACTACTTCACTCGACAACTTTATCAAGAAACAATTACAACTAATCAACTTAAAAGTTACACGCGGAAATTGAAACTCCCAGATATGACTGCGGAGCGTACGAAAATGAAAAATATTTTCCGGAAAGTATCAAATTTAAATTCCCCATTTTATATGAGGTAATTACAAGAGTTTTTATGCACCGCGGCAGTTATTGCAGCCCGGTGCAGAGTTATTTTAAAGTTGAACCGACGCGTTTTAATGGAAACTACACTGTGGCTGGAAATTTGAATTTTTCAGCCGTTACCTGCGCCTATAAATCAAGTGTAAAGTCACCCTAAGCTCCCTAGATCGCTGCCTCGAACGTTTTAAAATGTAAATGACCCGCGACTCCTCATAGGAGCTTATAATTTGTACAAAATATTGTGTTTCAGCTTAATATCTACTTTATACTTGACTCAGTTAAATTGCACGTTAAAACTTTCCGAGAAGAAAACCAACGTTTAAACTTTTATCCTCCTGTAATCATTTGGTACCTGCTCGGTGCAGCGCTTAACTTGGAAGTTGAGAGACACTTCTAATGAAGACTTACTTTAACTATGATTTTATATGTGATATATTTAGAACAGTTGATTTCATTATTATAAGAAGTTATTTACTTTATTATATAAAAATATTCAAAAAAACTTTTTGTTCACTACATAGACACGGAAAAATCTTTATTGTAATAAAATAACTGTGATAGTTATCAAGAGTAACCTCATACTTACTGCAGAAAATTCAAAACTAAGCAAACATTAAAAAAAACCTTAAAAACAAAGAGAAAAAAAATGCATTAATACGAAAATTAATTAATTTAAATGTTAGCTATTTTCTGCTTTGATTGCTTTACAATAAAATGGGTAATAAGCCCATTTATCGCGGAAAACCCATTAATATACAAAGTTTTACTACTACTTCTACTTCTACTAGGTGGACCGACGATCTCGTAAAGGTCGCGGGAAGAGCCTGGATGCGGGCAGCGCAGGACCGTGCATTGTGGAAAACCTTGGAGGAGGCCTTTGTCCAGCAGTGGACGTCATTTGGCTGGAACGAACGAACGAACGAACGATACAAAGTTTTATTAGGATTACTAGGATTTTCAGCTATTATTAGGATTTTCAGTACCTACTGATATGATTAACGCCATCTGAATCCTACATAGTGAACATTATCTACAGTGCACATAGAGTCCTGAAACAACGCAAACCAGCCTCGAGGAAAAGATACATTTGCTGTGAGCTACGAGAGGGCGCTGTGGTACGCTAAAGTAACTCACTTGGTTCAGTCAGAGCTGCGAATCAAAACGTGAGCGTGATATAAATGGTTCCACAAAAATCCTTACGATGGCGCTAGCAGCTGTGCAGCGTGTAGTAGAGTATTGTCACGTATTGTAGAGTAGTCACAGTTTTATGATTGTGTGTTAGATTCTTGAGCCAGAGTAGATCCTTATAAATATAAAGTCTGAATATTCACTAGAACTGCTCAATTTATGAAAACCAAAAACCAGAACTTATACTATGAGAACGTTAAAAGTAGAGTGTCTTTAATGTAGAAAGGTCTTTGTACCCGTAATATCAATTTAGGTTCTTAAAGTATTGTAGTGCTACATCTTTGAACATCATTTTTATCCTTTAAACGTAAATCTACGAAAACAGACTGAACAAAAATAGCAGACCCTGACGAAACACGACATCACTGTCACATCGGACACCTCCTGCCCATCGCACGTTAATCATCCCAACTAATATTATAAATGCGAAAGTAACTCTGTCTGTCTGTCTGTCTGTCTGTCTGTTACGCTTTCCCGCTTAAACCTCGCAACCGATTTTGATGAAATTTGGCATAGAGATAGTTTGAGTCCCGGGAAAGAACATAGGATAGTTTTTATCCGCGTTTTTGAAACAGGGACGCGTGCGATAAAGTTTTTCTGTGACAGACAAAATTCCACGCGGGCGAAGCCGCGGGCGGAAAGCTAGTCTCTTCTAAATTTGGCCGACCGCTTCCGGATCTTTCACCTGAATGGCTTCCATTTTAAAAATATATTAGTTGACAGGCTGGTGAAGTGCTGCAGGCTTCCTAATGCCGCGTGCTTTCTAGTTTAAAACCTGTACCATGCTCGTTGTATGACAAAAGTTAAAGAAAGGCTGGATTCCAATTTCCAAGATACGATATACATATGTTTGGACTTTGGTTACTTTCGTTTCTGAATTAAAAATGCTAAATAAATGTATCTAAGAAATCTTGTTTAGATTAAATAAGTTGCATCATTAAAGNCAAAATTAATAACTAGAGGTACATAAAGGTACACCTCAGGTATTAAAAATTCATATTTATATTATTCATTTCTGTGACCATACACCCGCCATTCTGACGTTCACGAATAAACAGGGCTATTTTTAACTAAAATATCCACCACACCTTTTATTACTCTCTCTTAAAACCTATCGAATAAGTCTTTCGAATTTGGAGTTCAGCACCAAGACTATAAATTCGTGACACATTCAATGAAGCGTCAGAAAAAAGTGGCGAAGCTATCACGAAACTAAATGTATCACGCATTTTACACTGTCTTACCTCATGTTCATAATTTATTTAACCGCTGGCAATAGGATAACGTGGCTACGCCCTATCCTATCCACTTTATTCAAAGTCTTTAGAATGTATAAAGCCCGGTCTGTGAGCACGTAGAATTGCTGTCGCGCTCGCACACTCACTGCGGGCGCCCGTCGCACAGTCGCGACAGCAATATAATTACGCGCGAGCGATAAGGATGGGTAGCTTGGGGTCATTGGACAAAATTCTGCGTGCTCGCAGACCAGACTATAGTCGAACTGTTCAATCGCTAAGCGTATCTACGTCGACGTGTTCGTTGTCGTCTTCGTCGGGCGCGCGCGGTAGCGGCGGTCCTCCCGCGCTCCCGCGACCCTCCTTAGTATGTCGCCACTTCATGCGACGGTTCTGGAACCACACCTTTACCTGTACAGAAAATAATGCTTAATGTAGCAATGCTGTAGCACAAGTTGGTTGAATATTACGTAAACTATTTCGTGGCAAAGAACATGAAGAAACTTTCAAGGAAGCAGAAATGGTCACCTCTCGTGAGCCGAGGACTGCTACAACTCCTGCATCGATCTCATCATCATCATCATCAACAGCCCTTTACAGTCCACTGCTGGACTATAACCCTCCTCCACTATAGTGGAAGGTTTTTCCATAATCCCCACGCTTGGCTGGGTTGGAGATGCAGATTAAAAGACATGTTTTTGAGCGCTGCTGCCTGTTCTCTATATGATGTGTAGTCCCTAAGTCGCCTCTTACGACACCCGCGGGAAGAGTAGGGGAGTGACAAATATATTCTACTCTACTGTCACCACACGGCTGCATCTATCTAGGCCTACAGTTTGAAAATCTTCTAGCCCCGCAAGTTGATATTGCGATTGGCGGCCATTTTGGTGACGTAGTCTACGTGCACCGTCAGAGTTACTTACAAATCACAAATTCGTTCACGGTATTGCCTTAACACAAGTTTAGCTTTCTTAGGGCCTCCGCTAAAACTCGCGCGGGTGCCCCCGGCGGGCTTATACTAAGTAATTTTCGACGAAAAACCGCGCGCTTATTATTATTCATTCTAATGGTTCAAGAACTTACTTGAGCATCAGTGAGTCCTAAGGTCGCCGCCAACTGCCTCCGGTCCGGCTTAGTGATGTACTTCTGTATTTGGAAGCGCCTCTCCAGCCCTTTCCTCTGAAGGTTGCTGAAGACCGCTCGAGACCACGAGCGTTTGCGCTTGCCGCTCGAAGTGACGTCACATCGTGATGCTGGGGGTTGCTGAGGTGGCGACGATGAGGGAATTGGTAGCCGGTAAACTAAAAAAGACGCGAAGAAAACTTAATTTAAATGTAATGACTAATTATCTTGAAAAAATATTTTAACGGACTGGCCAAATCGTGATCCGAGGGACGCGGGTTCGATCCTTGCTGCCGCTCGACTATTGTGGTGAACGCACTCTTAATACGAGCATATTAGCTTACCACGAGGGGTTAGCGGAATGACTAGTAATTTGTATGTACTAATTTAAATATAATAGAATATTCTTCAACAAAAAAACTATCATTTAAAGGTGTACTATAGTCTTTTTCACGTAAGATGATCCGTATGACACTTCAAGGTTATCCATATTACGCATACTACATATGCAGAATATTTTTGAAAAAATATTTGTATTTCATTAGCAATATACTAAAAAAAAATTAACTACTTGTCTTGAAATATATAGTAAAATCTGAGTCTATTGATTAATATTTTAATTAAATACGATGTAAAAATATTTTTTATTTAATGTACGCAATGTGTGAAACGGAATAGATTTAGTGCTGGGGTATCTCTTGTATAATACAATCGATTATTTCCGCGGTTCATTAATCGATTGCAGTGAATACTTAGTTATTAAAAACATCACAAAAATCAACTATATTTTTCGATTATTGACTTTAATAAACGCATTGAAAATAAATTAATAGTTTTTAATTTAAAGAAACAGAACCAGTACTTTTTAGGAATCGTTTTTATGAACACGAACCATGAAATTTGAATATTATCAATAAAAAATTGTTAAAATAATATTTGTAATTCAAAAAAACATGTTTTTTGTTAAATAACACCTAAACAAAATAATTCTCTAAAAGTAGGTTTTACTAACTCTTCGAAAAAAATCGATAGATAAATCGCTATGGTTTAGTTATGTGACATCTCTAAATCTTTCAAACTCCAAACGTCATAGGGATCATCTTAGGTGAAAAAGACTATAGTATCAAGTGTTTATCAATTTGGTTCGGCATATTGTAGAGTTTATTAAATAGTATAAGAAGACCCACATTCCGCGGTTTAGGGTGCTTAATTGCTAGATCCATGTAAATATAATAAATAATAATAATAAAAATACTTTTATTTTCCATCAAATACAAATTACAATTTGTTAATTACAAATTAATTACAACATTTGTTGACGCTGTTTAGGTGAACTGGAGCCTAAACTAGGATAATCCTGTATTTCAGGACTCCAGGTCTCTTACCCGCGGTACGGGTGTTGAAGTACTTTATTGTAACGTAAGAAGAAAAAGAAAAGTAAAAATAAGCGAAAAAAAAAAAACAAAAACATGAGTTCGTAACTAAATATTTTTTTTTTTTTTTTTTTTTTAAAAAAGATTATTAGTAATTTGTTATTACACAAATTACTAATAGTCCCGTTAGCCCCTCGTACTAAGCTAAATATGCTTGTGTCACGAGTGAGCTCACCACAATAGTCGAGCGGCGGCGGGGACCGAACCCGCGTTCCCCGGATCACGAGTCGGCCAGTCCGACCCCTTCACCGCTCGGCTATCGTGGCTTCAAAAATATTACTAACGTGTGTGTGTGAGTGTGTGTGTGTGAGTGTGTGTGTGTGTGTGTGTGTGTGAGTGAGTGTGTGTGTGTGTGAGTGTGTAGGGGATGGAGATGGAGAATGTACCTAAGGGTTTATTTTGTGATGTTAGTGTTGGAATTAGTTTAATACAGTCAAGAGTGACTCCGTCATGATGTAATTTGAATTTAGCAAATATTTTGTTATTATACGTTTGGTTTCAAATAAGGTTTTCGGGTAAAAATTCAGTGTTGAGTTTAGTTTTTTGTACAGATAAGGTAAGAGGAAGCATGCCTGTCGTCGCAAGAATACGGTGTTATATTTTATTGATTTGCAGATTTTCTGGGTGCGTGTGTTAAGGTTTTTTGCGTCGTATGTTAGGTGTCTGTGTTGGCGAAGTGTAGCATGCAGGACAAATAGTTGTCTTACGGTCAAGACTTTGGTTTCCTCGTACAGGCTTTGAGTTGGGTACCTGTAGGGCTTGCGCAGCATTACCTTTAGCAGTGACCTTTGGGCGCGCTCCACTTTTATTAATTTTGTCTTGCATGCTCCACCCCACACCGGTATACAGTAGCTCAAGATGGATTGTACCAGTGCGTAGTAAACTGTTTTTAGCAGATTAGGTTTTAAGATGTTTCTAAGCTTTTTGAAAATCCAGATCAATTTGCGTGTTCGAGTGGAAACGAATTCTATTTGTTTATGCCATGACGGTGTTTCGTCCAGTTGGATGCCAAGGTATCTGATGTTATCACATTTATCTATAGCATTTATCTAAACATAAATTGTTGCCTAGCCGATATAGTGAAAGGTTTTAGAAACGTGTTTTTTCTGAAAAGTAGCTAGACTTATTAATCGGATTAAAGCTTGAAATATGTTTAATCAATTCATCAAAATAAAACATCGCAAACTTTTTATATTATAGGTGATTGACCTGCAAATATAAGTTGGTGAAAATAAAAATAAATAAATATTACCTACGCAGTTAAGTCTCCTGAAAGTATTATATTTATGCCTACTTAGTCTGCAAAACTAAAAACTTATTGCAAAAAGTTTAACACTTTTAGGTTTAAAAAACCGTAAGGAAGTCTTTTTCAGCTAACTGCTTCTATTATGCTTCTGTAAAGTTACTGAATTTACTTACTACAGTTTGAGCCTAACCTGTAGGTCTAAGATGCGCGCCGTGATAACTTTTATCGACGTCAAAATGTATGGGGAAAATCGATAAAATGGCGTGATAACCGCTTATCGCGGCGCGCATCTTAGGACTTCTGAGTTCAACAGTTAAATTCAGTAACAATTATAAAGTATTTTTAACCGACTTCGAAAAAGAAAGGAGAAGGTTCTATGTTCCACTACATGTATTTTTTCTCTCTATGTACTTATGTTGACTGATTATTGCAATTAGTATACGAGTACCTAAATAATATCTTAGTGGATTGGTTTTATATTTTTTTTGTGCTGGCTTTTTCTGCAATCAGTCGCCAGACTATAATCATACTTATGCCATTGAATGTCTTCTTAAAGATATAGAGTCAGCTGACTTCCTAAGGTATAGTTCGGTTTTATGATTTAACTTAGGCTGGGTTTCACTTGCACCATCTTACTTTAACAAACGTCACAAATCTGTCAAATTACATACAAAAACGAGTTATCGTTAAAGTTTACGGTTAAAGTTAGGTGGTGCAACTCAGCCTTATACTTTTGTGTGTCATATCTGTTACCTGTTGTTTATCGCTGCTCCTAAGTTATTTGAAATTCATAGGATTCTTCGAAGACGGCTATGGACCCCATGCAAATCGCTTTGATACGGTGATAAATATTAAAACATTCAATAATACGTTCGCATAAAATGATGTATCTTTGATTTTTGTGTCAAGGTTCGCATTTTATTTATCTTATTCAATTTTATTTAGATCCACGGTCACTGTATAAGTATTTTTTTGAGTAAGGATTTCCGAGTAAAACCTGGGTCATCCTGGATTTATACAAGTTCCGTCTATTATGTATTTTGAGTTTAATATTATTGAGATATGTTTAGATTGGGTTTCATTAAGCGCTACCTAAAATAAGTAGTAGATAAATACTGGTTAGGAAATTATTATACACGGAGAGGATATGTTGCTACGGATAAATATTGTAACTTTAAACGAGAATAGTTATAAACTTCTAATAGGCACGTATCTAGTTCTCATTTACGAAATATAGGAAAAGGATTGATTACAAATTAATTAAAAAAAAATAAACTATAGTTTTTTTATAGTACCTAAATATTTCGATCCTAAATAAATTATGTAGTTAGTACTAGTTAGGTACTTCCCGTCCGCGGCTTCGCCCGCGTGGAATTTTGTCGGTCACAGAAAATCTTTTGCCCGCGCGCGTCCCTGTTCCAAAAACCGGGATAAAACTATCCTATGTCCTTTCCCGGGACTCAAGCTATCTCTATGCCTTTCATCAAAATCGGTTCAGTGGTTTAGGCGTGAAAGCAAGACAGACAGAGTTTCGCATTTATAATGTTAGTATAGATGCGTTTCCATTATTCCCCTGTTCACTTTTTATTCGTAAAGAATACCACATTTCTGAGAACATTTGAATTTATTGGTTTTTAACCATTAGGTATATTCATTGATCTGATGATGGAGAAGCAGAGGCTAAAAATCATACCTAATTAGCTGAAATGTTCGCCCTATTTTCAATGCTTTAGTTGGCTATTGGCAATAAGAAAGGATATTTAATATTTTAAGTGTTAATTTTATTGTTTAACTAATTAGAGTAAATTACATTTTCACAACGTCCGGTCTTACGCTTTTGTTTGCCGATCGAATCTGACCAATAAATTGAGACAACTATTCGAATCAGCGGCTTAGTGCCCTTTCGCAGTAAAAAATTAGAGCAAAAGCTTAATAAAACATGTCCGTATCGACTCTACCAACAAATAAAGATATTACACATAAAAGTATTGGAAGTTATTTCAGTTATGTTTTTCTAACCGCCCGCCCTGTTACAATATTTTTTCATAAATTTTCCAGTAGGTAAATCAAAAGTCATGAAAATCAGTCCAGATGTTCTCGAGTAAGTTATAAGAGTTCGAATAAACCCGACTGTTTTATTTATAGAACAATTTTTCAATAGCATTCTACGAGTACCTTTCAAGCAGGAAAGGTTGGCAAATACCTTATTCGTGACTTGATTTTAATAACCCTTTAATTCATTAAAACATTTTTTAAATTATTACAGCAAGTAGGTAGGTACAGTCGAGTTCATAAATAAGCAGTGGCAGTACTGGCAGTGCCAATGTTTAAAAATATTGTACCCGTTTTAAATTTTTAACGATCATACATTTCAATACAAATTCAAACATAAATAAAATTTAATCATATGAACTATTCATAAATATGTTGCGGTAACGCAGTGTTGACTGCGCTAAAATCTTTTGAAATATTGGGCCTGCCATTTATGAACTCGACTGTACCTATTCCTATTCTATATTTCTTCATTTTACTTATACGTTTCCAACAAAGACTGAATTTCCTTAGGTAAAATATGAAAAATACAGTTACATTTTACAAATTATTAGTATTACCTACTACAAAGTTTATTTGGGAAATAACGTAAGTTTTCCAGGGGGAAATTCTATTGGCTTTCCACCAAAAAACAAAGTGAATTCTTGCTAAATATTGTAGGTATACCTTCATATCTCACTAACCCCTCCAGCCCTCCAGGTAAGCTAAATAATAGGCACTTTGCTTCTGTTAGCAAGTCAAAGAGTTCGCCACTTATGGTCCAGCGGTTGGTAAAGTTGAAACAGTATCCTCTCGAAACAGAATCAGGTCGTGAATCGTTAAGCTATGAAGGCCATTTTTACTAATTAAGAACGAGTCATGCAAGGCAGAACCTGAAGAATACTTATTGGGGGAATTTACCTAATGAGGGATAACAAAAGACCAAAGTTGCAGGCAATAAAACATGAAGAATTGAAGAACCTACTCACCGGTTGTAGGCCTCAAGGCAGGGTGCAAATGCGCATAGGGCAGGGGCAGCGGCAGCGGCAGCAGCGGTTCATCCCCACAGCAGCGGTACAGCGCCGCCACGCAACCAGCGCACGGCGGCTCCTGCGCCCGCGGCGCCTCCGCCCCCCTGGGCTCCCCCGACCCAACATTTCCCAGGATACTCTCCACGCTAAACTTCAACTTGCTCGTGTTCACTTCACCACTCAACGACGTCATCACAACCGCCTCCGACAACCGCCGATTAAAAACTGAATAACGCTCTCACGGGTCATCGGCGCCCGCGCACTCAGTGGGCGTGTCCTGGCAAACGCTGCACGCTGATTGGCCGGCCGCCCGCTGGGCGGGGCCAGTAACTTGCGCACGACCAGGCTATGGAGTGCTCGACCATTGAATGATGTACGAACGCTGCAGTTGTTTACAATAAACTGCCACTTTAATGTGTTTTATATGGGTTTGCGAGAATTTAATTTTATTACCGCAGAGCTTACGTCATTCTTCAAGGGGGTGGTTTTTTTATCGCTTTGTAAGTAGTGTTTTATACCTAAATACGAGATATAAATTAGCTAAAACTGCAGTATAAATAAGCGAATACGCCACGTTATTTACGTTTTTATGATCTGGGTATTATTATTATCCAAATCACGTTTATTCAAACTGTAACTCTGGTTCAAATAGACAATCACCACTTTATAGAAAATTTCTAAAAAATATTTGTAGAAATCTGTTAACAAATAGCGAAATATTCCATCACGAGCACCTCCACTTGGAAACCGATACCTTTTCACTAAAGCTAAATTAAAATACCATGACATCATCTGTTTTAAATCCGCGAGAATCGAGGTAAACCGCTAAAAGCTTCGATTTATGCTGTAAGTGGTTAGCTCGAACAAAAACATTGAGCAGCTATTAATCTGTACATTTTTATGTATAATAAAACCACGCAAAGTAGTTTCATGTACGGTTTGTATGTAGGTGCTTCCCGATAATAACTTTCCCTCTAATATGGAATGAATGAAGGAAAACATACGATACGATTACAGGACCTTTAAAGAAACAACTAGTAATGTCTTTGTTATAACTAAGAACAAACTATTGTTTTAAATTGAAATTAATAACATAATTTCGAGTAGGTAAGACCAAAAATGAAAAAGAGCTATGATAGGTGTTAGGTGTGTGACTTTATTAGTTAAGTTAGGTGTGTGAGCATCGAAACGACGTACTTGCCATCAGCAAATATAAACTATCTTACATAGTTCTGATAGAATGCACTTGGAATGCAAACGTGGTTGTGTTCCTCAGTCGATGAAGCAAATGATGTCTTGCCCTGTGCTCAAACAACTGCACGCAGGAAGATTTAATGAATGCTACTTACTGACAACGCCACTTTTGTAGCAGAGTTTTGGGCTGACACGGTTTGGGTTTGTGTTCGACACGACTAGAAGAAGATGGTGATAGAATGAAACTGAAAAAACATACTTAATGAAGAATTGTAATGAAAACTGGCAATCATTAGGTACTTACTTATGAGTGAGCATAAATAAGAGTTGAAAAATTTCATTAGCAAGTGAATGTTACCTCCAGCATGTCATTAATTCAATGAAAACAGCCCTAGTCCTAGCATAGATCCCTGCGGCACGCCCACAAAAAGATGCTTCTGAAGACTGTTCTAGGAAGAGTCTCTTGAACAGAAGACTCTTCTGTGTGAAGTTAGAGTTCGAGAGATCATACCTAAGGAAGATATTCTAAACAGACAAAGCCACGAGCAAAGCTAGTTCACACACAAACGTCGGTTCTAAAGCCGAATCGATTACGGTCCGTTTATTTTGCCTGTCGACGCCACCTGGTGTTCGTTTCGGCCCAGATATAGATTGGATCATTACGCTGAGCGCATGCGGTGTTTACCATTCGCCCGCGAGGTAACCAAATCGTCTAATATGCTTTATTAGTTAAGATATTTGGCTGCCACTAAATCATTGGCTTCCGGAAAGATTATACACAGTCAAAATAGCGAGGAAGTTGTGATATCCGTTATTTAACGTGTAAAGTTTGAAAACAGTAGAAGTATCACATCCTACACTGTAGAACACATACCACTTTCATTCCTGATCCATTATAAACGATAGGAATTTTTTCAATAGATACAGATATTCATCATTATCAACACCTCCATCATCATGAGGAAAGGATAGAGACATTAGAAGAAGGCAATAATCATTATGAAAATCATTGGGGGAGGCCTATGTTCAGCAGTGGACGTCCTATTGCTGATATGATGATGATGATGATGAAAATTAATACCCACTCTTACGGATCTAATTAACGAGAAGGATGTTCAGCATATCGCGAATACTCTCAGATGATGTATTTAATTTATCAAATCGAACATAAACATCCCATATTTTATCGTCAATAAATAAATCATAGGAGCACAAATTACATTTCTGCAGTGCGTTTTGCAGTGGTTGTCGAATCCACATAAATCAGGCTAGCGGCGCGGGCGCAGTGTGAGAGGATCACAGATTTACTACGGGTTTGTGGTACGCATGGGAAACTTCATCAATTCCCCAAATCTTATTTACAACGGGATTTAAATGGATGATTTAACAAACAAGGCTAGGTAAGGGATCGGAAGATTTATTTATTTATTATTTAAGGCACAGCTACAAATGCAGCAAGAAAGTTAACGAATTATTTTCTGAAAAAAAAAACTTCTTTATTAAAATTATTCCCTTCATAATATTTTGACTTCCATTCCCGTGTTTGGGAGAGCAACGAGTTATGCTGGAGACATTTATCTATCAACTTTTAAAACGACTACCAATATTCTAAATCTCCACCTAAATCTGGCAAGTGTCAACCAATAACCTGGGTGCCGAACAAAAAGAAACGTAAGTGTTAATCGACATGGATAATTAATGGATGTCAAAAAAATACTCAATAACACCTACGACCAATTCGGATTGTGGTTCATTTCAAACCACACACACGATATACGTAATTAAATAACGTTTTTGCATAGCGTTATATCATAAGCTGTCGAAGCAGCATAAATCAGCGCTCAGCGCAAGCGCGTCACAAGATTTGCCGTAAGTTGACGTCGCGGCCACACGTCCTCATAACGAATGGTTTATTCGAAGGTGCTCACTGGGGTAAGGTGGCCACTGCGGCCATATAGGCCAGTAGAATTAAACACAAAAATTGATTAAATCGGAAATAATTCCTACAAAAGATTTTTTTGCTTTAATGGCTTCATTGGTTGCCCATTAAGACTCTCCTAAGTTTTCGACTTCGACGGAGTTGAGCTTAAGTGGTGGGGGCCCCCGAAATAGGCGTTTTTTCGGTTTTCCGGTTATACCGCGTAAAGGACTTACCTACCCTATCGAAAAGTGGTCTTCATGACGGTTGAAGGGCACTTAATCCTGCATTGAATAAGACCAAATTCATATGTTTTGGACAAACCGTTCTCTCGCTAAAGTTCGGCAAAGTAGAAAATATACGTATAATTAATGACCCTCTCCACGTCCAATGGCTTGTTACCTACATGCTTCCAAGCCTTGTAAAGGGTCGCCTTAACCAGTGTAACCCTAACAAGGCTCACGAGTTTGATTCGCTTATCCTTGTTCGTCCCAGCCGTTCCTTAACTGCGGTTGCTGCACCTCTTCCTGGCACTCTCCTGAACGACTCTGTGTTACCTAATGTGGCTGCCCCTCTTCCTTGTACCCTCCTGTACGATTTCATTGCTTAGCCATATGCCTGGTCCAAGGTTCGATGCCACAAAATCAACAACAACAAGTTCATATTAAAACGCTGAAGAGTTTTTTGTTTGTTTGTTTGAAAAATCTTTTGTAGGAATTATTTCCGATTTAAAAGCTAATTCTACTGGACTAATAATTAATTATGGATTTTTGTGATTTGACATAGGCACTCTGATTGGGGTGTGAAGGCCAAATCCTCCTTTTGTGTAGACTACTTACATTTGTCTCTAAACTAATAAGTAATTACATTTGTAGACACTAAGCCTAGGCGCAGACCACCAACATTTTGTCGGCCGATATAGTCGGGCAGTTAATCAGTATGGGCATGTATGGAAGTGCGCACATTACAACGATTCAATTTTCATACAAATTAAAATCGGGCCCAATTATCGGCCGACTAAAAGTCGATGGTCTGCGCCTAGGCAATCAAGATGATGATGATGATGATGATGATTAAAATTATAGATAGGTTAGAGTAACGAATAAAACACGAACGATACCACTTTTCTAACTACCCACGATTACTCGTCAACGTAAGTACCTAATAGTTTGCTCGTGCTCGTGCTATAGACAAAGTGTCTAACAAGAAAAATGCTTCGTTTAGAAAGCACAGACATCTCGACGCGTGTTTAGAATGATAAATCAGACGGTCAGATAAAAACAAATACGTTTTACAGTTCAGTATACAACTAGAGCCCACTCTAGGAGCTGGTTAATGGCTGTTTAAGAGCCTCACGTAGTGATGGGGAGTTTAGAAATTATAGAATACAACTCAGAATCTTCACTACATGCCGTCCTCAGATCAATCCCTGGAAAATATTTTCCAGCTATTTTCGGTAAAAAAGGGAATATACGTCGTTCGTCATGTCATTAAGACCCATGCAAGCACGAAAGTTAACGTAGGTACTTAGCAACTTAGATATGAATACCTGAAAATGTTTTCTGCGTTTTTATGTGGTTAAAGTTAAGTCTCAATAGTTTCGTAAATATCTCGTTATTCCGTAAGACTCTTTACAGCATCCCAATATAGTGTCAATCAAACGTTTTACGGCTGAAATCGGCCCGTTCACGACTTCCTCCGTCCGAGTTTTTGAGAAGCGGAGATTTATTGAGTGCGCCATATTGTGATAGCCGCTCTAAACGTCCGAGTCCCGAGCCCGAATTACGCCACGTTTTATTGCCGATGAAATTAAATATTGAATGTAAAAAACAGTAGCTTTTGATAACATCATTACTAAGATCACTATTTTTACTANTATGAAGCAGACGAGGACACTGCGTCCAATGAAGAGGATGTTTCGGTCTACCCTACGTATGAAGCAGTCGAGGACGATGCAAGATCAGGAGAGGCCGTATTAGCGTAAGGCGGTTGTGACGTCACTCGGGTGGCGCGATCGAACCGTTACGAGCAGGTTTCGAAGAGCACGACCCGGGCGGCGGCGCGCGACCACTTTTGCGGCGGCACTTGGACGGTTAACATCGGAACATCGGATTCGTGATCGGCGAGTTTTGTGGCTGTGATTGGTTCGTCTTTTTGATTTTTAAGCGTTATTTTGTTCCACTTTGTGTAAAATTAATTAGTTTTGATTTTTATAAAAGTTAACAAAATTCCTGATTTTTATTTTAAAATTACCTACCCCTTTTGATCTCTAAAACTATAGTAATGTCCAACCGTATGCTGGA